ATCATGATGTGATGCTTAGGATTTGTTTTTAGAAGCCAAAACACTATTTTTTGAGATGCTAATAAAAGCAATGTATTTTATTTATTTACTTACTGCTTTAAAACAGGTTTTGAATTAAGGCTTTCCCCTTCCTTACAGTATGCACATAAAACTCACTTAAGCTATATTTTTAACATATTAATGAGATATATGTAAATAAAATATGTCTCTTAGGGTAGCTCCTTTAATAGGGGGAAAACTGAACTAAAATGGTATACCTTAAAAACATTTTATTGAAAACAAAAATACTACTATCATAACAGTGTCGGCTAAGATTTATTCAGATGGTTTTTTTGCATTTATTCTGGGATTTCCCCATAAATTCATATAAATAAAAATTCAGGTAAAGTAAGTCTAGCATTACATCATTCTATATAAAGGTGTTGACTTTAATGGAAAAAATCCAGTTACTGTGTTTTAATAAAATTTGAATATAATGGAATGACTTGCACTGCGTTAGAAAAAAAAAGAGTGAAAAAATAATAATTTTTGTTTTATTTTCACTATAAGTACAAGTATTTTGCATATGTTTGTTATCAAAAGATGTAGATTTAAAGCTAAATAATACTTTTGTTTTTACTTATGCAAATTAATTAATAAGGATATTAACTAATTATAGAATTATTGGTACTCTTCTGTTATCGGGACCGGATTCAGAAATCTCTATATGGATGTATATTGAATGTATGTATATATGAACCATGCATATGTATGTGTGTGTATACATACATTTTTGATTTCCATCCCGATAACAGAAGAGTACTGAATTATCATTAAATATTCAGATATGTATAATAATATATTAACAACATTGTTTCACGAGAAAATAGTAAAATTAAATTAATTTTAATAATTTTCTTGTGCCATTGCTTCAAGGAATGAAATTTGAATTTAACAAATATTCACTATTTCTATAAAGCAAATATAAAATTCTCTACTCATATAAAGCAAATATAAAATTAAAATTTTAAATTTTATGTATGTTTTTTCCCTTGTTTAATTCATAAATTTACCAGTTTTTCTATGTACTGTATAAAGTATTTTCTCAATAGCAAATGTATCGGTAAATAGTGTCTAAATTTTGTGTGGAAAGGTATTCTTTTTATTTTTTATTTATTTATGTGTGTATTTATTAATTTTTTAAAATTTTCTTTTTAGCTAAATAAAGAACAAAAATAGTATTTTTGATATGGAATTTTTACATTGCTAAATTTATATAAAAATATATTTTTAAAATATAGATTCCCACAGCCATTAGAGCATTGAAATAGTTTTTTATAGCATTCTGCTAAAAACATCAAAATTTAAAGGTGTATATCTCAAATCAGTATTTAAAATCATAAAGCTTTTAGCTACCTTTTTCTGGATATGCACACAAAATAACATTTTTAAACCAAATTGTTGCAATAATAGACATTCGATTCCATGTGAGCAAACTTCAAACTGCATATTAAAAATGATAAACAAGAAGTAGATTAAAAATGAAAAACAAGAATTATTATGCAGACAAGCTATTAAATTTTTCAGAAGTTTAAAATGCGAACTTGCTAGATATATTAAAGCATCAGCATGTATTTATCCACTTATCATATAAAATTTGCTTACAATTTTAGAAAAGTAACTTTTGATTCAGAAAAGCTTTAGAAACTTAAAAATTACTGAAGTTTTCTTCATACAAATTTGTAGCCACAGCTTTAATGTTCTCTAAATAATTTAACATGTAATGTAAATAAAAGTAATATGCTTAACTCCATCAGTACTGAAATGGTATAGTTAAGATATTAAGAATTATCATACAAGTACTGTATTGAAAGGCTTATAATTTTTATATAATACATGAAACTACCTTGAATTATAAAAGAAAAGTAGTTACATAAATATGAAAACGTGATTTCAAACCCATTATAACCTCATGGAAATTAAGAATACAGCTGCGGGAAATCTCTTGTCAAAAAGTACATTTTGAGTTGTCTAACATTATGCATGTATGTAAAAGTATAAACTGAAAATTCAGAAGTAAGTTGACAAAAAAGTTTTTGTAACTTATATATGAATTTGAAGTATATGTGAAAATGTTTTAAAAACGCATCATGAATCATATGAGAAATTCGTCATTTTAAAAAAACTACGAGAGAGAAGTCACACATCTCTATATGCATGCGAAAAATTGCAACTTAAAATTATCTAAAAGGTCCTCTAAAATGTTAAATAATTAAAGTTTCAACACCGCTAAAGAGCCAAAGATTGGCCCCCAACCGAAATTGCAACCCTAAAGTGTCGCAACAACATCACTGACGACTTACCCACATATCAGTCGTGACGTCACATCGTGACGTATCATGACTTCAGTTTCATTGCATGGAACATATGGGGAAGGCTTACTCCATCTATTCTAACCTCCTTGGCCTGCACAGAAAGAAAGACTGGATCATCCCCAAACTTTTATCCGTACGCCTTCAATAATTTACATAACGCTGAGTACCCCTCATCAATAAAACAGACATATTTTAATAACAATCAAAATGCATTTCTTTTTTGTGACATACACAAAGTAATAAGAAAAGAGAAATAAAATTATTCATAATAAAATATAAATAACATTTATTTGAATTAAGTAGAAGAACGATATTGTTTGTGCTGAGATGACTGATCATCATAATTTGGTTCCCTAGTTGTTAATTTTAATATGAGATGCGGTTTCATGTCCAATATTCTGTTCCTTTTTTTCGACTTAGGACCGTATATCCTCCGACCATGCGACGAGATCTCGATACGTGAGGGATGTAGCAAGCAACTCTTTCTCATTCGACTGCTACCAAGGATTGAACGAAAACTGGTATCCTCAAGCGACTTTTGCCGATCAAAAGAGGTGGAAGCTCCTCCTTCACACGGCTCATATTTTTACGTCAAACGATAGTACAACAACCAATGAGAAGACTTGTTGAAAAATAATCGTAATTCCCCCCCCCTTCCACAAAGTTTACATTTTACAAAAATAACAATTTTACAAAAAGTATAAACTGTTCATGATAACAAAATGAATAATAACATCACAAACAGTTACTGGCGATATTTTACTGCACAAACACACACATTCCATAATTGATTTTGTATTTATAAAAATCAGTTGATCGTCAATAAGTGGCACTTAAATGAAAATATGCATTTTGAAGAAATATGAAGAGTAATTTTTCTAACATTCTATGGAAAAATACAAAGCTGAACTTACCTCACAAATACACGCTCCTGGGCCGGGAATTCATTGATCTTGACAAGAATTAATTATCCATTTTCGTCTTTCTAGATTTCTCGGAAAACGAAATATCCTTATGTTATTTTTAGAATGATTGGAACAATTTAGTGCAGCACATCCACCAATGTCTCTCAAAATTAGGTCGGAATTGATCAACAAACATGTCAACATAACAATACTGATAGCAACAAGTGTAATTTGTTGACTACAAAACGGACTATGAGTAAGTTCTCCTCGGAGAAGCCTCAGTGCTATGCTGTACGTCAACGATCATCATATCATTCTCCTACTTTCAGTTGACTAGTTAGTTCGCAGACTTGTAGCGTGAAAGTGCTCTTGCCCCTCGCTCCTGATTTTGCAAAAAGCACGTATCTCCCTTTAACAACATACATAAATATTTATTAAATTACTTATAAATTTATTTTAAATGAAGGACTTACTTCATTTATAAACACTTGTGAAAGTTACTGTGAAGAAATTGAATTATTAAATTTACAACGATTATAAATATTATCTAAAAATATATACTTAACATTGAATTGTAAACATAAATTGAAATCCTATTGACAAATACGTTATAAATTTACTTAAGCAAACATTTTTCGTACTGAAAAGCAATCTGTTAAAAGGAATTATAAAGCAAATTCTACGAGATGCGAACTTAAGAAAGTAATAAAGAGGAGTTTTAGAATATGTATTGTTGAAATTAAGGGTAAAAAAAATCTGTTAAGTATAATTAAAAGAATTCCCCTTAAATTTTATAACTCAGTTACAAATTTTAAATGATACTTAAAAAAACGTCCTTTTTTTTTTATTCCCTTTCAGAAATATTCAGAGAAAGCTAAGTACTATTTAACGCATTTCACTATTAAAATAAATGGAGCTCTAATTTGAAATGGACAGAACAGAGCATTAATTATAAACTTATAAACTGACTTAGATTTTTCAATTTAAAAGATGCCTCAGAAGTTAAAAAATCATGTCATTTTGGAGAAAATATTTTAAGAAGAAGCTCTATAAATAGAAAAGATAATACAATAAACTTTGACCTTAATTTTTGCAATCCTTAACAGAATAAAATTGAATTTCCTTAAAATTTTTTCTAATGTAATTAACGAAAACTTGTGAAAAGTACAGCATTTAATTCCATTCAGAATGAAATGTTGTTAAAAATGTATTCTTTTCATATACTTAAGTATTATAGAAAAAGAAAATATATACATTTATGTGCATATTTACGACGTAATTACCAAATGATTACATCCAATCATGTCAAAGCCCATTGAACTTAATGGCAAATGACCTAATGTTTTAGTCACCACGAAGGGATCGCCAGTGCTTTAAAGCAGTGTATAGGGGAAACTGCTTATGGCCGCTCCATTTTACTTCATACCTCCATCGTTACATGTGAACCTACACCCCCAATGTATTACCTGAAACTATTCAACCACCAAATTTATATAAAATGTTGTTTTTAAATGCAGTATTTTGATTTTAATTCACATAAAAATATGATGTAAAATATTTTATTCTTGCCAGAACATTTACTTGAAATTTAATTTCATTTCTTGCTAGGATTAAATAATCTAATAGTTTTCCAATCATTCCCCCCCTCGCTAGTTGCTAGTTTTTATTTTGACATATAATTTCATATGCTTATTTAATTAAGAAATTCTCTAATAGAAATTAAAAAATTGAAATGTATTGCCATTATTTTAGGAGTGAAATTTATTAAAAATTATCATACAGCTTTATACATGCTTTTTTACAAGATGTGTCCACAAGTTATAAATATTTAAGAATATCTTTTGTCCAATTAAAATCTTTTTTCTGTTTTTTGATTTTTAATAGCTCACTTTTTAATTGCAATGATTTCTCCAATAATGTTAACTGCCTTTCAACTGCACTAGCCTGTCTTTCTGCTGCAGCAGCTTTTCTTTCCATTGCAGCAGCTTTTCTTTCTGCTGCAACAACTTTTCTTTCATAAAGTTTCAGTTTCTGCCTATAAAAAGAAGTTTGTTCTAATATTTTACTCTTTTCCTCTCTATTGTCGTCTATTTGTGAGTGCTCTTGCTCAATGCTGTCTTGGTCTTGAAAGAGATTTTTAATTATTTGCGGCTCTGTGGAAGTTTTCCCATTTTGAATGCCTGAAAAAAAAAAAAAAAAATTTGTATTCGGAAATCATTTTATTTCAACAAAAATTAAGTTAAAAAAATTAAATGCATACACATTTACCTGACTGAATAATTATATATCAAAATAAGGTTTGTGATTAAACTGAAATTTTAGATTATGCATATTTTTAAGAGCATTCATATATTATTAAAAGTATATGCAATCTTTCTACATGCTTTGCAGCTTTTCAGGGTTTGTACACAATATTGTACTTGGAAATTTGTATACTTTTAATGACCATTAAAGAAAAAAATTAAGGACCTATCAGCGAATGGAAGCTGAATAAATTCGATTACATATACCATTATGATTTAACTTCACTTGTATAATACCATTCTAAGAATAAAACAGGTCTATAAGTAAAATGCATTATAAATCAAATATGAAAATAAAATCAGCTTTTTAAAATTTACCAAGTAGTATTAAATATTTAAAATTTATAATGGTTGGACATATTTTAAAAATTAGTGATATTTTATATATGTTTTACTAGCAGTTAGCTTTATATTATTATTATTATTATTATTATTATTATTTATGTCTCATTTCATCATGCACTTGCTCAGTCTAAAGGTTTAGTAAACAACAGGCATATTTTATGTCAAATGACATAGGTTAAAATGAGAAGTAAAATCATAACCAGCATGATTTGTAATAGAAGCTTGGCCATGGCCACCACAGCTATTTGCCTAGAGAGAGACCTGCTGATCAGAATAGATCTGAATGCCTGATGTTGGCATGACTGATAAGTGTTGAAAGTTAGTTATACTATGTACGTCCAGGGCAGGATTTAGACTTGATAAGGGCCTAAGCTATTTGAGATATGGGGCCCTTTATAAGTCCAGATATTATATGTCAGTGCAAATATGATTCTCAGATACCTAGAAGGGTTTTGGAGGACCCTAAGCTTAGCTAGTGTAGCTTATACATAAATCCTGCACAGTGTACGTCTGGTGCAGTTAGTATCGTAGCTTTGTGAAGAATTCCTGGAGTTGTAACCCAGTTAATATACTTTAAGGTTCCAATAAGCCACTAAAGCACCCGAGGTAATAAGTTTTTTTGTGCTGTTTTAAGTTTCACTAGCTGTAAGGAATAAGTTTTACATTAACTTTTATATTTTTCTGTCATATCTTGTGACCACAGTAAGGCTTAATGAAAGGCAATAACTCACCCTAACATGCAGAGATAACTTTTAAGAGTAAACAGTTACAAATGATTAAATTAGGTAGTTAGATACCCTTAGTCATTATAGATTTAAATGGCAATTATTAATTTTTTTTAAACATATTTGTTAAAAAAGCACTATTAAAATTAGAATCTAAAAACATTTCACAGTTTAAAACACGTGTAATATATGACACTGATTCTTACACGATATTAGGATTACTGTACATTAAAACATACACGCTGCAAAACATTTATGTTTTATAGCAACAATACACAACAAAATATTTATGCGTCTTTTTAATTTGGAAACTTACCAGACATTTTGGCTGATTTATATCATTTTCCTTCTCTATAAGCATTTTTTATAATAAGAAGAAATTTCAATACTTAAACTAACCAATGTTCGATAAAAGTTAAATAGTTCAAAATCTTTATTGGAAGTGAAGCAAATTATTGCTATGTCTGAAAGTAACTATGTCAGTTAAAGATTTAAATAAACCTTTTTATTTAAACAGAACTTGGAACATATATGCACATTCTTGTGCTAACAAAATCAACTATAGTTTGTGGTGATATAACTAAAACACAGTTAAATTAAAATTTAAAATACAGGCTAGCAATCAAAGGCTACATGATTTAATTTTAATCTAAGTGAGTTCAGTAACACTAATGGCATAACAAATTTAAATGGCAGCAGTGATGATGCAAAGCCAAATAATTAGAAATTAAGAAATTATCAGAGCTGGTAGAAACAACAAAATGTGCACGTACCTGCCAAAAACATGCTCCGTCTTACAAATCCCCAAATCCCAGTTTAAATATATTTAATTGATTTGCATTCTGACTAGGAAACAGAAAGGCAGGGTGGTTAATATAAATAATAATAATCATACATATCTTTGAGGAATAATTTTCTTTCACCATATGTATTCATTTTTTTCCTCAGTAAGTTTCCTCTTCATTTCAGAATTTTTGGATTTAAAAAAGATTATTCTTAAGATGTTATTCTAAGAAACTTCATATTTATTTAAAATGTATAGAGAAAACTAATTTTATTTCTTTAGTAATATGATCATTGAATAGGCAGCAGAATTTAGGATCTCCAGAGAATGCATCGGGAAAATGACTAGCACTAGCCTTGTGCATGATGCATTGAGACATTTCAATTGCTTTATTAATAGAAGAATTTCTTTCTATTGCCTGTTTGTGTGACAAGATTAAAGCAAATGAGGTATTTTCCATACTTGAAAGCTAAAAGAAGAGAAAATAAAGTGATGATAAACATGTTAAGAGAAAGACTTCTATTATCAGAAGTACAAAATTCAAACATTATAGTTTCATTGTTCTTCCAAAAATTCTCCAAAAGGTAAGAAATTCATCATAAACTTCCTGTAAAATACATTCAATATGTGCTAATATCATGAAGAACATGTTTCATTTTGTCACATTTTTCTGGAATCATAGGTCTATAAATCTTGACTTCAAATCCTTCTAAACTTTCCGAGGTGTAATGTCTAAATTCCGAAACAAAAATTATCCCTACTAATTCTGTAACACCAAAGAGCCAGAAGTATATTTTTAAAAAATTCAGAGAAAAAAGTGAAAAATGAATTTTATAGAAACTGATACACATTTTGAGAATTCTGAATATTCTGAGATAATCACACAGGGAAAAACTCATACCCCGAAATAATATAAAAGAAGCCATTTTAAAAATAATTACATAGCTATTTTGCTTTCATTAAGAATGGTTGTGTAAATTGTTCTTTATAGCATTTATTACCTCGTGGATTTTTCAGATCTAAAATATTCTAATAAGTTACCAAACTAAAAGGTAATGTCATTTTATAATATGGCAGCAAAAAAATAAACGTCTTATTTTTACGTTATTTTTTAAATATAATTTTAATATTTTATCATTATTTTAATGAAATTTATCAATGCTAATTGATATGCTTTTAAAAAAAATCTTAGAAATATCACCTGTCATCAGAATGCCTTTTCATTATCTGAGTCGAACTGATAGGAGACATCTTGGATGTCTCCTATCGAACCTTTGCTAGATAGGAGACATCTTGGATGTTGCTCGATTTGTGGATCGTCTCCTGTATCCATTCTTGAATGATATGTTCTGCAGCAGTTCTCTCTTCATGCTTAGTTGTGCATTCTACAATAACTACGATGTTAGGCTTTCTGACGACAGGAATTCTGGAGGACTATTAGTTTAACACAGGTAATTGAAGTACATGCTACAAGCACTTCCCCTTTCCTAAAAACTTTTGCTTTATCACTTATGTTGGCAACTCTTACTGGGATTGTGGTCGTTGATAGGTTGATGAGTGCCAAGGCCGTTAGTATCCTTTGGTGCCATTACAGTTCTTAAGATACTCCATTATATCGAACCAAAAATTTCTGTTTTCTGCTATGGAACAGCAGGTAGTAAAGTATCTGATCTTGCTAGTACTGTACATCTCAAGCTATTATTTGTTAGATGAATTTAATACTTTTATCTTTAATTTTGAACAGGGTTATGTCCTCAGAGGTAGAATACAATTCGTTACTTTTGAAGTTAAAAAAAAAAAAAAAAATGTATTTTCTTAAAATGTCTCATCCAAGTATGCAAGAATTTGTAATATTTGCTACACATTCAATGTGATGGTAGGCAGCACCCAAAACAAGATGTTAGCTTTTAACCTTTCCATCAATTTGCATTTTATTACTGGAAACAGTTTGGAAGGTAATGCAGGGCAGTGTCCAGTTCAGTCGACATTCCAGTTCTTGAGACATATCATTTTGGATGATGGTAATGACGGCTCCTGTATCAATGGTCATACTCCAAGGAATTCCACTGATGTGTCCTATGATAAAAAGTCCATATTGCCACCTCTCATAGCAAAAATCTAAAGTGCTTATGGGGCTTCTCATTATCTGGCAAGCTCCTACCCGCGAGATGGCAACTAATTAGTTTCCTTGCTTCTTGCTGGGAGTGGTCTTAGATTCCAAGCCTCGGGGTGTTCTGCATTTCCTTCATAAGTGTCCTACAGCACAACATTTCCAGTACTTTAGAATTGGTTTATTGCCATTCCTGTTTAATTTCAAGGCATTGACTTGCCTGGATAAATAGTCTAGACCAGTGGTTCTCAACCTTTAGACTAATGCATACCATCTAAACAAAAACTGAAAATCTTTACTACTACTAGTACATTTTACAACGATTACTTTTTAATTTCTTAATAGATATACGAATTATATATATATATATATATATATTGTCATTTGCACAACCTATTGGCTATTTGTATTAAATATGCACACATAAAAATTATTAGATTAAAAATTGATTACCATTTTAATTATCAAAACCTAAGTTGTAGCACTTTAATTCTAAAATTTAGTGCAAAATTTGGGCTTATTTAAGAAAGAGATCAATGTCCTTATGTGTGGACTTATTTCATTTAGTTTTAACCATAAATTAGGATCCCCTTTTAATTCTGTTCTATATTTATTTTTCAAATATAACATGCAAAAAAATCCTTGTTCATACAAATAGGTTGTGTGAAAAGGCTAAAAAAAAATAGATTTACTTGAAATGCTTTTTAATTCTTTTTTTTGGAGTGTGTTATATTTGCAATCTTCAGTTACAGCTCGATAACAAGAGCCTTCTATCAATTGTTTTTTTTTTTTCTTCAACAGATAAAATTTCAGGTAAATTTGAACATAATCCTCAAGAAAATAAATGTTGAAATTATTTATCAATGAAAAAAAAAAAAATATTGTTAATGCCAGATGCTATTTCTTCTTTTAT